ATCTTGGAGGCTTGGGTCGCCAGATTTTGCCACCGCAAGAACAAAATGTCTCACCACATTTGGACCTAATTTCTTCGGGCATGCTTTATAGTACGTCTCCTTGTGATGTGATGCTGTTGTTTCCTGTCTGCATAGATTCACAGAAGGTTAGAGTTATTCAGGATTTCAGAATCGGCCTGTAACGTTTACGTATCAAAATTTATTTAGCAGCCATCTTGAATCCAAAAATGTACTGTGGTTTCAGTTGTTGTCGCCACGTTTTTCTGGGGTTTGTTTAGCGGCGTTAAGGACTTGTGGTTTCTTATATTCAGGGGCATAACGTTATACACAATATTTCATGCCGAAATATGGCAACCCGTGATGTTTACTTGTCGAAACATTTCCGTTTTTCTCCCCTCTTTATGTGCACATAATTCGTTCCGGTGTATTTGGATGTATTTCGGTAAATATAGTCGACCCATTGTTAAATCGTGTCGTGTTATCAGCTATTTCAGGGACCCAGCGAGTTAGGAAGATAACAAAGACAACAATACAACTACTTGAAGAGTTTTTGGTTATGGCGGAGAGAAATTTGCTGCATAATTACGTGCTTTCATAGAAATAAGAAATTTAGGGTTTATGGAAAAGCAGGACCAGACCGCCAACCCTCGCAAATAACTCCACCAGTACAGGCTCCCAAAAGAGGCAAGAATAGACATCAGAACAATGATACAGTAAAGTTTATAACTCACTGTCCTACAAAAATGCGAAAGACTGACCACAATCATGCAGCGATGTGCCAGGAACACCTGGTAAAAGGCACTTCTTACAAGGAAGAAGTTCTACATCAGTTGAAATTAGCTTATAAAAATACAAAATACTTCTTTTACAGTGAAGTTGTAGTGTGCAAGCCAACCTGTACAAGCACAGGCACTATGGCTGAAGGGGACCGCTACTGTGAGTCACTTCTTTCCACTTGGTTTTGCTCTAATTACAATATTTAATGCATATAACATGATATTAGTTGTTAAACACTATAATTGCTAACTTAAGATTGACACCATCAGAAACTGACACCAATTTCTGATATATTTTTTTAAGTATAACCCATGGCAAATACTAGTAGTAAGTCTCATCCTCATCCTGTACTATAGTAGTAACTACAAACATGCACAATTATTGTATCGTAGAACTAAAATCTGATTCCTCATAGATGCTATATATATATATATATATACATGTATATATAATCCAGTTTTGTTGCATTGGTTCTATTTGGATGCCTTTTTTTTAATTGAGGACATTATTAATGGCTTTGTCTGTACATGTGTGGAAAACTGTTTAGGGTGTGACTTATGTGGCACGTATGAAGATGACATTGTGTGTCCAAACCTGGGACCTGTCCAGACCATGCAGGACTCGGAGGTCCAGTCTCGAGCTCGGGCCTCCCTGCCAAAAGGACTGGTCATTCAGAACACCACAGGTCAGTTGGGTGTCACCTACACACATGGACTTGTCACTCCTCAGCATAATTCTACAAGAGGTTTTAGGGAATTGGGTAACATGCAGTTTAGGTGTGGCTCTTTTCAGAGTCAAAGACAGAAAGTCCCGCTAAATACATCCTATCTGATCATGAAAAGACAGTCCTTTTTAACATAAGTTAAGTATGCAATATCACCTGAGTCTCAAGTGAGAAAATACATTGTAGGTGTAAAGTGTCCCTCCAAAGGGCTGTAAAAAAACTGGGGCCTATCAAGGATTTGAACCCCGACTATAAGTCAGCAACTCTAATTACAAGACTACCTTGCAAACAATGGAACATTTAATTGTTACAAGTTATGATAAGTTAGTCCCTATGTCATAAAAATGACTCACGAATTTTCCCTCTACCTATAGATGGTCAGGAGGGTGTGTTTGCAGGAGTACCTTTGAGTGCAAGAATGAAGTTTGGACCACTGGAGGCCCAGAGACTACAGACTGCACCACAAGGAAAGGAGTCTTTTCCACTGAAGGTTAAATTCTATTTTTTTTTATACTAAATTTCATACATTCAAATACAACAACATTTTTCTCAGACATCAGAAATACCTCCACAGCTCCAATTTTACCTGCTCTAACCTGCATATACCCAGTATATAGACCAGTGCAGGTAGACATCAGAAATACATGTAACTGTACATCTCCAATTTTACCTGCACTAACCTGTATATACCCAGTACATGGACCAGCGCAGGTTAGGTGCAGGTAGACATCAGAAATACCTGCACATCTCCAATTTTACCTGCACTAGCCTGTATATACCCTGTACATGGACCAGCGCAGGTTAGGTGCAGGCATCCTCCCATGGCAGGGGCAGCGGCTCCGAATTCCTTCTCCACCCCTTACCCCTGCCGTATAACATGGCATCTTCTACTCTGCGACCCGATTCCAGGGACACGCTCTCAGCCAATCACGTATCACAGAGAAAATCTTCAACGCACTTTACATTAATATTTATGAGATGCGCTAGCTATCGGAACCAATCATGACGGCTATTCAGTGACAAATAAAAACAAACATGGCGTCGTCTCGGGAAGAGAACTTTTGCGATGCAGGCCGCTGCGGGCGTCGGCGGGGCGCTAGCGTGTGCTGGAGGCTGCGCGCGGATCCCGCCGAGCACGGGGAAGGTGTTAACTCGGTGACTTTGCCCCGCACGGCCTCCCCAACGCGTTAACGGGCTCGTCACCGGGCGGCGGCGGAGTCGCCGGCGGGGAGGGTGACGTCCCTTCGCCGCCCAAGTCAGAAATGGGGTCATGCCTAATAAGGCAAGCTCATGAATATTAATATTCCTGGGGTCGTAGAGTAGAAGATGCCATGTTATACGGCAGGGGTAAGGGGTGGAGAAGGAATTCGGAGCCGCTGCCCCTGCCATGGGAGGATGGGTGCAGGTAGACATCAGAAATACCTGCACATATCCAATTTTACCTGCACTAACCAGCATATACCAAGTATGTACATGGACCAATGCAGGTAGATATCAGAAATACATGCAAAGCTCCAATTTTACATGGACTAATGTGCATATGCAGGTGGGATACTGAGTTCTGCAACTACAGAGTGATGAAACACAAGTCTTTCCCTCAGGTTTTCAGCCCAGATGGGAGTTGCCTGTACCTGGATACCACAAACGAGGAAGTCTGCAATTGGATGAAGTTTGTCCGACCAGCCACTCGGGACACAGAGCAGAACTTGCTAGCCTATCAACAAGGAACAAACATTTTCTTTCTGACACAGAAGGTATGAGGTGCTATTCACTATAATTTAGGTGTCTTCTGAATTTGTTCACCTCTATGGGTAGTTCAAATACCACCCCCTCCCTCTCCCAAGGTCTGCCTGTACATGTACTATATGATTAGTTATTGGGGTCCAGATGATGCATTTCTTTGTATCTGCCTGTTCTGTATTCAGATATTACCATATATTTAGTATATCACCAAGTGGAATTTGCTGCCACCAAGTACAATAGTAATGGTCACTCCTCAGCTGCCTAAATGTCATGCAGGGCTTACATAACCTGGCCAACTTGATGATAATATTGTCAGAAGTGAAAATTGATCTTTCTTTCTCTCTTTTTCATCTTTAGGACATCCCTGTAGGGGGAGAGTTGCGGGTGTGGTATGCTCCCAGTTATGCTAAGAAGATGGGACAGCACCTGCAGACACCTGGGGAAGAGCACCTGCTGACAGCTGGAGGACAGCATCTGCCGACACCTGGGGGACAGCACCTGCCAACAGCTGGAGGACAGCACCTGCAGACACCAGGGGGACAGCACCTGATGACACCTGGGGGACAGCAGCTGCAGACATCTGCAGGACAGCTGTCACAGGGTGAGTTATCATAGACAGACTGTGTTGATTTGGGGCATGTACATGTGTAGGTACATGCTAAGTTTAATAGACTTATTTTGTTCTCCCAGGTGAACAGTATAGCAGAAACCTGTTAACTATCATTGTACTAAATAAATTCAAAGGCTACAATGTATGTTATTCCCTGCTTTATAGGTGCCCCCTCCTTGGCGGTGACCCATGGTAAGGGCAGTGTACCAGCACCAGTGCAAACCAGGACTAACAAACACAGCACAACATCTACAGGTCATCAGACAGATGAACAAGAAGGAATCACAAATGGCATGAACATGTCCTCAATACAATCAGAGTCACAGGTAGATGATTTCCAACAATCAAAGACAGTAACTCGTTGGAACGTACAGGAAAACATCATACAAAAGGGCAAAACAAGACCCACAAGACAAACCAAGGATAGTAAAGGGGAAAGGTAGAGGCCAACAAAGGTTAGCAAAACCTGCAAGAAGAAAATCGTGCCTGACAGTAAAAGAGTCACCAAAGCAAAAGACATCAGTGCCAAGCCAAGGAGAGAGAAGACCCCGATCCTCTGTGCAGGATGTACTAACGTGTTCGAGGATGAAGACGTCCTAAAAGAACATATTGAGAAAGAGCACCCTGATAAGGAAGAGCAGGGAAGGAAGAGACCCAGGAGGTCTACTGTCAAGAGCCATTTCTGCCAAATCTGTCAGGACAGCTTTGCCAAGAACAGTGAGCTGCTATTTCACGGCAGCACCTGCCATGCAGGACAGCTGAAACGCACAGAACCTAACTCTACAAGATCTCACACTTGGCAGGAGAGTGACGATGAAAGCGGCGAATGGAACGACAACGAGGAAAGCATGAGCGATGAAGAACCTGCAGTCGCAACAAAGAGAAGGAAACAGAATGGGGGGGCCAAAAAGAGGAAGAAGAGGGCAAAAAAAGATATAGAGTACAATCTTGAACACGCAGAGCAAATGTGGTGCGTGTACTGTGACGCGACATTCAGCTCTCCATGTAATGGCAAGCAACACAGTAGAGTTGCCCATGGCTTGATGTCAGGGGTAGAAAGAAAGTTCAAAGCAAAAGACACTTCAGCCTGCCAACATTGCAGTGCTCCCTTCTGCTCTCCGATAAAGCTGAAAGCACACATTTTATCCCTGCACGGCCCAAACAAGAAGCCTTACAAGTGTGATACCTGTCAGACAGAGTTTTCACTGGTGCGAAATCTGCAGGATCACCTAAAGCAGGCTGGAAGTACATGTAAGCTACATTGTCAGGATTGTGATGAAACCTTTACCAATCTGGCTACAGCCAGGGTACACGAGCAGCTACTCCATCCACCGACCAGTCAACAGACAGTGAACTCTCCTAATGGCAAGAAGGCTCCAAGGCAGGAAGATTTGGATGCTGCTCTGCGATGGTGCAAGTACTGTGATCTAGCCTATCAGTCAAGCGTGGCATTAAAGGCACATATGACAAAGTATCATGGAGCCTATAGTTTGGATAGTGAAGCATTCACGGGAGTTTTAGAACACTGTCGTCTCTGTAACGCACCATTCACCTTCCGTAGAACACTTCGGTCCCACCTACAGGAAGTGCACAAGGTCTTCCCAGACTTTGCACTACAGAAGAGCTCCACCATTTCCCCAGTCCACGAATGTGAGAGGTGTTGCCAGAAGTTCCCGGGGCCGGCACAGTTGCAACTTCACCTGGAAGAAAGAATGGGAGAATGCACAGTGAGCTGCCAACAATGCGGGAAGTCTTTCTGCAGTCTCCCCAGTCTCCGCTTACATGAAGCCCACAAACACTCCATGGTGAAATGTAACCTTTGCCGGAAGAGTTTTGTCAATGTGCAATCTCTGGGCAGGCATATAAAGAAGGTCCATCAAAATGGTCAGGAGACAAAGTCAGATTCTCCAGAATGGTGCCAGTACTGTGATATCAGTTTTGCAGAGAAGAAAAGCTTCAATAGGCATATGAAAGTGTACCACGGGGCCGGTCACCCCAACAGGATCAATGCTGGGAATGATCTTAAGCTTTGCAGTCAGTGTGATGCCCCCTTCACCAGTACGAAATCCATGCTAAAGCATGTACAAGACATCCATGGGGTGTACACAGACACTGGTACATCAATTCCTCCAAATGCTTCTAAAACGCACAAGTGTCCGACCTGTTCGAAGGTCCTTCCGGGTCCACAGCAACTTCAGGCTCATCTTACAGAGAGAAATGGGCAGTGTAAGATGACGTGTGAGGTGTGCGGGCAAACGTTCGACAGCCTTTCCATGTTCCGGTCGCACGAGAACAACATGCACCATTCGGTGAAGAAGTGTAAGTTGTGTGAGGCCACATTCAAGAACACGAGTGGGCTTGGGAGACACATGAGGAATACTCACAGCTCTGAGAGCAATGCCATGATGACCTCCAGCCAGAGATGGTGTCCCTACTGCGATCAAACATTCGTCTACTCTAACAACTTCTCCACGCATATGAGGGAATTTCATTATCCCTCTGGGTATTCATTATCATCCAACGAGCCGGCAGGTGTCACAGATGACCTGCCACACTGTGAGGTCTGCGATGCTCCATTCTCTACACGTAGGCTCCTGAAACGACACGTACTCAAAGCACACGAGCTGCCTGCATTTACCAAAGGGCAGACACAGGCGACGCATCAGTGTGAGACATGCTGTCAGACGTTTCGCGGCCCCCAACACCTGGACAACCACTTGCGTAGCGGCCAAGGCAAGTGCCGAGCGACCTGTCCATGGTGTCATGAAGCCTTTTATCGTCTTGCCAGTGTACGGGTACACGAGGTGAGATGCAGTAAGAGAATCCAGGAGGAACCAGAAGGACAACAAAGCAGTGCATCACATAAAGACACTCCTGCCTTCAAAGACACTGAGTCCATTGTCCTTGCCACATTGGAGCAGCAATGGTGTAGTCACTGTGACTTGATACTGTCTGCAGAGAGCGCTTTGTCTAAGCACATGACAGAATTTCATGGGGAAGGATCTGCACCGGAAGCAGGCTTGGTTTACTGTAAGACATGTAACTCTCCATTCACAGACGAAGCCAAACTTCTCTCACATTCTCAGAAGCTACACAATGTTAGCCCATACGTGCACATCCATTGCTGACTTGACCAGCCACACACCTTCATCCATACAATGTGGGTCCTGTCAGAAGTGTTTCAGCTCTGTACAGGGATTAGAGGAGCATCTAATGGCCAGGAATCATGCATGCCTTGTAGACTGCAAAACTTGTGGGCTGCAATTTAGCAGCATATGGAGGCTTCGTTGGCACGAATACAGAACACACGCAAAACACTGAAGAGGAACCAAAACCAGAGAGGGGTGAATTTGTTTGTGATGTATGTAGCTCTTTCTTTGACACATCTGAAAGCCTAGCAGACCATCTGAGTGGCCATGCTGGTCAGGATGTGTACCAGTGCACAGTGTGTAGCAAACCACAGCCTGACAATGCAATCCTCAAACATGTGTTAGCTCATGAAGACAAAGGCAGCCAGGACTTCAGCTGCCCGGGATGCACCCAGACATTCGATCAGAAGGATGCTCTACTGCAACATCTGCAAACCCACAAACTCTCCAAATATGCCTGTCCTCTGTGCAAGTCTACAGTCAACAATGTAGAACTGACCCGTCATCTTGAAGAGGAATGTTCTGCCAAAGAACAGAAGCACAGATGCCCACTGTGCGCTGTCGTATGTCAATCAGTCACTCACTTGTGTACCCATATAAAGCAATGTGAAATGTCTACAGACAAGACGTTCTTCAGCTGCGATCTTTGCAAGGTCCGATTCACAAGTAAGGCTGCCTTGAGAAGGCATCAAGCTCTGCAGCATTCTGGTCCAGGACAGTGTTTGGGCTGCCCACAATGTGAGTATAGCACACAGGACAGCAAGTATCAGCTATGGAAACATTTTACAGAGCATGACCTACTCACTAAGTTGTGTGAGGCACCCAAGGATGATGTTGAATCAACTAGTGTCACCTGTACGCTATGTGGATCTAGGATGCCAGAAAAGGGGCTCAGCTACCATCTAAAGAAACATAAAACAGTTGAATACATGTTCAAGTGCAGGTTCTGTCCAGGAGAGTTTTTCACAGCTCGGCAGTTGCATCAGCACACGGACAAACACATCTACAAAGATGGGGTGATAACATGTCCCATTTGTGTTTGTCCAATTATTAGTCCAGTAGGGCCAGAGAGAGTGTGTAGTTCAAGAATCTTGTGCAAACACATGAAAAAGGTTCACCAGCAATATCTTTACCAATGTCCTGTGTGTCAGAAAGAGATGACCTACCGCAAGAGCTACGAAAATCATCTTTCGCTTCACAAGGGTGATATCGTGCTAGAAGCAAGGGTTGAGATTCAGACCAGGGAATGCGACATTTGCGGAAAGTGCTTTTCCGGACAGACTCAGATGCAACGGCACAGAGAAGAAGTCCACATGAATGTTAGGAAATTTAAGTGTGACATTTGCAACAAGGATTTTAAGAGAAAGGCCGAGCTAGTCGTTCATATGTCCGTCCACACGGGTGACTACCCACATCTATGTATGTACTGTGGCAAGTCCTATAAACTCAAAAATTCCCTGAACCAGCATATCTCCATCCACTTGAATATCAAAAAGCATGCTTGCAACCTGTGTGGGAAAGCTTTTAATCAGAAGGTCAATCTGAAGAAGCATCTTGAAAGCCACAACGACAGTAAACAGTTTCAGTGTGAAGCCTGTGGGAAGACTTTCCAGCACAGTGACAGCCTGCGCACGCACATGCGACTCAAGCACCTGGATCACGGGAAGTCCTGTAGGTTCTGTGGGAAGAAGTTCCTTCGCACGTCGGTTCTAAAGCTCCACGAGAACGCCGTCCACAACGGCATCAAGACCAAGATGTGCCAGGTTTGCGGACAGGTCCTGACTTACGAACACACGCTGCGGAGACACGTGCGTCGGGTGCATCCAGACCTTTATGACAAGTACTACCCAGCTAGCGTGGCCGGACAAGGTAACTCGGGTGACAAAACAGTTGTTGGAAATCTTGGCCGCAATGCTGGCCGGAAAACGTCTGCAAGACAAGGAAAGAAAAGAGGACGAAAAGATCATTTCCAAATTTCAACACAAGAACACACCCTAAGTCAGCACCTCACAGTGTCTGCAGAGGGTAGCTCAATGGCCCAGAATTGTGAGGAAGAAGAAGAAATACTTTGTGCCATTGATGGGGTGGTTACAGACAATGGAGACATGAACAAAGACGCTCACACTACCGTCATCATCATCAATGATCAGAACTCGACGGAGCAGAACATTGTTAGCTCAGTACAGTTGGCAGAGGGGCAAGCCTCCACAAGTGCTGTAACAAGCTTAGGCCAGTGGATGCCCAGACAGTTTCAGGGAAGTACTGAAGCATCTTCCTGTGAAATTATAATGCCTTCTGCAGATGCAGTTAGATATGTGCCTTAAAGGGGCATTATGTAACATTTTTTTTTGCACCAAAAGTTGTTTCAGTATTAAAAGAAAAGTGTTTTACTGAAAAATCTTTGTGGGACTGCAATGTATTTTTCAACATATTTGTGGATTTATGTTACATTTCTTACATTTATGGTTGACAGTAGCAAAACAGCCCACAAAAGGCACACTCAATTTGTGGTGCCACCACAAATTACCAGAATATCAACACTAGCATGGCTGACAGCTGTGTTTCCAGCTTTTTAAGACACTTCCTAAGGCATCATATTTTAGTATATTTCTTCCTGATTGGTTCAGCTTACAAAATGTAACTTTTTGTATCCTTCCATTGTTACATTATGCATCTTGACATATCAGAGTTTTCCTTATATACACTGTAGACAATATATGTACATTAGGATGAGCTTCAAATATATTTTGTAGTGCAGTACACAAAAATATGTTTATTTGGATTGATGAGAACTTTGTACAATTGTGTACAGTGTACACATACCATTTCTTGTTGAAAACAATTTCATGTTCATCAGAATCAACACACGATGGTTGTCACCTTACTGTATCTAAATGTATACATAAGCTTTCAGATGTTCGAAGGTCATTCCAGTATTTCTGAACTTGATTGGATGAAATAATTCAACTATACTACAATAAATGATGCCTGATTGCAGACTAAGTGACAGTAAGGTTATTCTGTTGTGTAATGTTTAGATAGTTAAGTGTATCTTAATGTGTGTGTCTGTGTGTGAGAGAGAGAGAGAATTCTGAAACTGTGGAATATTCTAAAACTGAAACATTGATGATAAGTGACAAAAAAAAATCAATATTTAATCACTCTTACAGGTTCTTCTGGTGAAGAAAGGCGTCAAATTAAAAAGTCTATTGATAAAACAGTCCATTTTCCCTGTATTTTGGTTGTCAGAAATAGTTTCAAGGTCAAGAACGAGAGCCGAAAGAACCCGAAGTAAAACCCCCATAAGAGCCCATCGCGTTCCCAGGTCGTGAAATGGCCAAATCTGTTCCTAAATTATATTTTTGTGAAAAGTGTTCGAAACTGGTATCATACCGGAGGTTGTTTTATGTACCATATTGGCGTTTTTTAGCAACATTGACTTTAATCTTGATCTCTAATCTTAATCTTTGATGTATGACACGTATTTATGTTACCTGATGCCAGCAAAACTCGTGCAAGATTGCTGTTTATTAGTTTGATTCAGATACAGCGCTCATAAGTCATATATAAACATGTAAAAGCACCGTGAATGAAAACAGTATTGTGGTAAAACGCCTTAACAAAAGAGCTTTATGTAATAGCTGGTAGTTTTAAAGCAGGTGTTAAAACCTTCGTGCACAAATCTGCAAGTGCAATCTTCCACTTTAATGCAGCTGCACTTGATATTGGGACGGTGGCATTTTTTTTATGTGTGTAAACAAGTTAGAGCTGCAGTAGTTCATATACGCTGGCTAGACTATGTGAAGGTAAACATTATACATTTGCTTTGCAAATATTCCCTTTTTAGTTACATGATAAAATCTCCACGTATCTCATTAGGCCACAGCAAGAAAATTTTATGGATGACATCCTCAGCAGTCTCCAAATCTAATGCGATAGGGCAAAAACAAACAAGGTGGGCTAAAAAACAATAGCCTGATTAAATCACTTCACGGTTGCAGGCCGCCCAACATCCAGCCGCCCATGAAGGGGCCACTAAAGCCGTGGATGGCAGAGTTTGCTTTACACAGACTAAAAAAAAAAACAAGATTCCTACATTTTCAAATTTATTTCAATTCTTTATTTCCATACCAACATTACAGACATACAAGGCGGAATTATATTGTTGCCTGGATGGCATTGGTATTGGCATTTCACATTATAAACCTTGTTAAGCAAGAAATTATACCCGATATTGTGGTAGCCTGGCCTGGCAAGCACCCTGGTTTTTCCGTAAACCCTGTTACTTTTTCTTAATCCTCAGAAAATGTATGTGACTGGATGAAATAAAGATCTTGTTGATATACATGGTTCAATGTACTATATACTGTATATATGTACTAAAATACATCAATCCCTCGCTTTTCCATGGGTGTACTGTTGTGTCAAACAAAGCGTGTAGTACAGTTTGCACAACTGCAATACTTAATACATGGAACTGATGGTGAGTTCAGCACCAAGGAGAGATCCACACTCGCAATGCCCATTAACAAATGGAGGGGGGCTTCCACAAGTTTGGGAATATAAACACTTTTTGTGGCAGAAGGTATCCTGATCATTGGGTTTGGCACAGAAAACAAGTCCAAAATTGGGCGACGAGAATAATTACTTTTGATTGGTGGCGGAATGGTGACGGTTAATTATCAAGAGCAATTATGATTAATCTCGTTTGCACTCCTATGCAATTATCACACATGGTATGGTCCGTTCGACCAGCTGCAGGCAGCAAGCTAGTGTGACGACGCTTTTGTGCCGCGTGGTGTGTGTGAATTGTCTCCAACTTTTGGGGTAAATTTTCGTGTTTTTGCCCCCAAATCATCCGTCTAAAGTGTACAGTATATCGTCTGGACGTTTCCATGTCCTATATGTGCCGTTCTTTGGATGTTTGAGGGAGAAAATCCGTATTTTCCTGGCGCTGGCGGGCGGACTCGGTTTGCAGACGGGGAAAATGAAAATGGCGACTGTACCATGGCGGCGTGGCGTGGTGCTGCAAAGACTTGTTCTTGCGAGGTAAGACAGCAATTTAGCTCCTTGGATGTACATGGTTGTCCTTCCAACCAACCTCTAGCAACAGACCACGTTATAATTCGTTATGTTAACCGTTATATTCCGTAGAAATTTGCGTTTTGTGCAACGATATGTCGCACCATCTTTTTCCTACCTCCATGGTCGCACACATTTTGTACTTGAGTATTTTTCAATAGGTTGTTTTCATGACTCGTAGTTTGGGGGAACACTGATATATTTCTTCCGTGTTGAGTGGCATTGAAAAAAGCTAGGAGCTAATTTGTTCGCTAAAACTGTTAAAAACACGTTTTTTTGTTGGAAATTTCCACAGTTTGGCTCAGTGAACAGCTTTTGGAACGTACCACACGTCTGCATAATTAAACCCACTCAACGTTCCCGCCAAAAAAGTCGCGTAAACAAGACTATCCAAGGCTAAAATTAACTTCTGAGCACCCAAAATTAAATCCGTGCACAAGTGAAAATACATGTAGTTTAATTTCGGTTTTGTTGCTGGTTTTTCATTGCTTTTGAATCGGGTTGTCATCATCAGGTTGGGGTTGTCACATTGGTATTTTACTGGATTTTATACTTCATTGCAAAATCATATCTGTTATTGATATATAATTGCATGAAGCAGTCACTGTGGTTGCACTGATTTGATTTTGAGGATGAACTGTGCAATCTTATTTTATCATTATTTTATAATTTATCATTTATAAATTATAGTATGTGTTATTTATTGAGTTTGTCTTTCTATTATTTAATTGTACTCAACTATGACAGCCATTTTTGTGGGTTATGTATTTGTTATGTGACAGTGTAGTTTTTACAAGTACACAATTCAATAAACAAATCACTATAGAGTCCTTTTCCTTATGTAAGGAAGAATAGGACGTATTCACATGTCATCACCCTTGCTCCGCCATGTTGAGGTACATGTGTATTTGTCTTACAAGAAGACTATGGATTCCGAATCAGTCTGTTTTTTTGTGGGAGAATGTGGATTTAGCGGCATAACTCTTGAAGGTGTGGTTCCATGTTCATAATTTTTGACAGGCAGGTTGTACGCGTTGTGGAGACCAAGGCCATGTGGGCTTTGTGGGGGGGGGGTCACTACATCAATGCAGTGGCCCTATTTGTGTTTGTCGCTTGTTAACAGGATAACTGGAGTAAATGTAAAATATAATGGATGTTCATGATTTTTGGTAGGCAGGTTACAGTTGTAAAGACCAAGGCTAAGTTAAAAAACAGGACTTGTGTGTGTGTGTGGGGGGGGTCCCTACGTGACGGCAGCAGACCTTTTATGTTTAGAGGTAATGATCTTCCCCCACCAACCTCTGCTTCAAGACAGCTGACAGCTGGCCATGGGGAACCCCATAATGGGATGGGATGGGATCAAATAACATTACATTGAGGGATTGTTCTATAACTTCAGTGGGAGGAGAAAAGGTTGAACATGTGTCAGGTTATTTCCTATGGCCACACCTAGTAATTGTTATGGATGACGTCCACTGCCAAGATGCCTCGATTTGGAATATACTGACTATAGAAATACAAATGTTAGGACACAAATTGAATAAAAGAACACAGTTTAACAAGAAACAAGTCTTCTATTCGTCATAAAAATAAATCAACAAAACAGCAGTAGTCGCCCTGTTCTGATTCCTTTAATCGCATCTTCTCTTATTATATTTTGTGACACTGTCGTGACACTTTCATCATAACACAGTAAGCAGAATTTCTTGGAACAGTTTTTTTTTCAGTAACACTAACAGTCCAAAAAATAACTTACAATGTAGGGGGGGGCTAACAAAGCTGCAGAGGTGCCAGAGTACACAGTGCAATTTTACGGAATACAGTGCAAGTTACTAGTACTAGTATACAGTGCAATTTTACGGAATACAGTGCAATTTTACTAATGACGTTGAATGACGTAACCTGGGCCCGGCTTTCCAGGGACGCCGCTGACCTGAAGCCTGGTCTGAGTGGAAGGAAGAACCACACTTTTATGGAGAGCTGTGTGAAAGAAGATGGGGAGGTGTGAGTATGGTTTCTTTATGAGACAACACTCCACATGCCTTCAGGTGCACACACTTACACTCACATTTCTCTCTTTTGCCCAGTTCACTCTACTGAGGGTCGGCATGCCTTTTGTCCGTGTGGTCCGGACCTGAAGTCTGGTCTGAGCGGATTAGGATTAGGAAGAACCACACTTTTATGGACAGAGCTGTGTGAAAGAAGATGGGGAGGTGTCTACATTTCATGGCGGCAGCAGCAGAAGCCAGGTGATTATTGGTGTTCCTATACCGCCTCCATGCACCAAACATGATCATTGTAAACCTGCAATTCTCTTAGTGTCACTGATGAAAGGTAGTAGTCTGACCGTTTCAGGTAGCACCAAAATCATATTGAGTCGCTTAAGAGTTAAGTACTGTTTTTTTGGTGTGTCTTTTATTAGTACATGTATGTTGTGTGGAAGGATGATATGTGGGTGAGATTACTAGTACATTTACAGGTAAGGTATGATTTTAGTTGTAGTAGCTTGTAGTGGGAGACAGCGGTGAAAGACCCGTGAAGATACCAGTAAATGATAAATTTTCTGTGGAGAAGGATCTATAAAGTCTGAAATGAAAAGAGTGATAGATGAAACTTCAAAGAATTCCAGTTATGCTACAGATTTACAAAGCTATATGATGTAAAAAAGACATTAATGGTTTGAGAAGGTTGTAGTATGGAGGCTTGTGTATTTGCAGAAAGTATTTTCAAATTGCAGAACAAAATTTTGACTCTTCTGCAATGTTGCAGAGCACTGAAAAAAAGTATTTCGACCACTGATTTGAGTCGAATATCACACCGGGACTGGTAGAAACTAATAAATCATCTTTTGCAGGCAGGATTTTGCATTAAAAGGCCCCATAAGTGAAGTTGATTTATATGTCCTTTAAATGCTT